GAGTCCAGTAGAGGAGCTCTGTTATAGAAGTAGACTTCATAGAATAGAACAGAGTAGAAGCTGTTGCCTTACATTATGAACATTTTCTTGATTATGTCAGAAGTGCCCTCATTCCAATGTGCACACACTTACACATGCACATGTACACACGCACACACGTGCACGCACTTGGTCTGCACCAGACATGCGGTTTTTATCAGGAGAGGAGGTTCTGGACAAATCTTCCATCTCAACTTGTGTTTGAGTGCACGTGGGCGGTTCCACCGTGCTTGCGTGCGTGCACGTGTGCGTGTGGGTGTATGTGCGTGTGCGTGTATGTGTGTGTGTGTATGTGTGTGCGAGGCTCCCAGGCTCCGTGGGAAAGCTCCAGCAGAGGAGGAGGAAGAGGAGGAGGAAGACACACCGGTCACAAGTCCACTCTGCAGCCGACACACGAGCCACCTGCCCCGGACCCTTTACCGGAGACACCCCGCTGGGAAAACAACTCCCGGAAGCTCCGGAGAAAAACACCTTTTTGGAAAACTTTTCGGTTTTGACTTTTTTTTGTTGGGAGGAATTATTAATGTCGCAATTCTGCAAAGAGGAAAAACAACGTGTGTGTCTTTCAGTTCTTTGGAACTGATGTGAAACTTCTTCATGAACTCGTGGATCTAACAAAAGCTCTCTGATCTCCTCCAATAATAATCAATAATCCTTTCTGGTAGATCTCTAATAAATCAACACGGAGTGATTGATGAGGTTCCATTGACCGTCAGTAACATTCACTCATTTATTCTCTAAGATTCATCAAAGAATCCACGAACGTGTTTCTTTGTTCAGCGTGGAGGAAACTACTTTAAACTTCTCTGAACCTCCGCGTGTCCTCCCGAGGAGACGCGGACAGTCCTCCCCAGGAGACGCGGACAGTCCTCCCGAGGAGACGCGGACAGTCCTCCCCAGGAGACGCGGACAGTCCTCCCCAGGAGACGCGGACAGTCCTCCCCGCCGTCCGTGCGCCATGAAGCGGCCGTGTGAGGACAGCAGCTCGGCGGACAGCGAGGTGGAGGAGACCATCGATGTGGGCAGCGAGAGCGTTTATCACGGGTGAGTTATTAAAGGAATCGATCTTTAATCTTCGTATTTAATATGCTGAAGAAAAGGCTGTACGTGTGCTCGTGCAGTAAAAGGTCTGCAGAGCATCACTTGTGTCTTATTATTTGAATGGTATCACTTAAGACATATTCAGATTATAACTCATCGTCTGCAGCCTTTTTATTGCATGTAAAAATATAAAGATATAAATATGATTCAATGAAGTATGTAAAGTTAGTTTACTGTTGAAGAAATTCATCCATTAAAACTCAATATAATAAAGTATACATACAGGGTACTATAAGTACACTGGTGCTCTGTAATGTAAGTTTATTAAAATGAAAACAAAGAAACATTATGAATCAAACCAGCAGAATGAAACATTCATGTTGCGCATTGTTTTCTACTCACTAAATCAAACTGGACATTATTATTATTTGGTATGAAACATTCGAGGATTGATTTGATGAATGGTGTGTTTTTGGTGTCTGAAGGTCAGATGAAGTGACTCTTAATAAGTCACCTGTCAGGATGGAACAGACCCCGCCCAGCTGGTGCTGCAGGCTGAATAAAACAAACTGACTTTAACAGAAGTGAGACATGTTGATGCTTTTAATGCTTAAAGAAGAATCAAACCTGAGACAAGCTGTTTGATATTAAAGTTGTTTTGTGAAGATGCCTTCTTCAACTTGAATTACTGACTCCTTTACATGTCTTACATTTCCCACAATCCCTTTCAGCAACCTCCAAAAACACCTGTCTCTTAGAGAGCAGTGGTGTTTGAAAATACTCCAGCAGTTAAAGTCCTGTATTCAAAACAACACTTACAGTAAAAGTATTATCAGAAAATGTACTCAAAGTACCTTTTATACTTAAAGAGTCAGTGAAGCGAGATGTTGAAGGGATGCAGTGGTGAACAGAACAATGTGGTTTCATTTATTTTCTTCTTCTTCTGGTGTATTAATCGATCATTTTGTCAAATTGTTGGAGGCAGAGAAGAAGAGAATATTTAATGCCACATTTCATATTTGCAAAATACCTTTTTTATTCTGTTTATATAATATAATATAATCTGATATGATATCATATTATATACTATTATATCATATGATATGATATAATATTTACGGCTAATAGTTGAAGACATTTGCCAGCAGTGGAGAAAGTACTCAGATCCATCCTTCAGTGAAAGTACCACAGTCTAAAAATACTTCATTACAAGTAAAAGTCCTGGATGCAAAGTGCTCCTTAAGTAAAAGTATTTAAGTATTATCATCTAAATGTACTTAAAGTATCAGAAGTATTCATCGTGCAGAACGGCTCCTTTCACAGCGACTCATCATTCTGTGCTTATCGCTAACGATGAGAGAATATTAACTTTAGATTCTTCAGTTCCTCATTCTGGAGCCGATTGTAAATAGAAGTAAAAGTGTAAAGTACCGCAACATGGAAGTACTTAAGTAAAGTACAAGTACTACATTTGCAGCTGTGAAACTCTATGACAGCTGTCGAAAACATCTGGATGTGAAAAACAAAAACCTCATTAATGTTAATTCATACGATCCAGAAATTAAGATGATTCAAAGCAGGAAATCAAAGTTCACTCCACTTTACTTTAAGTCAAATGTTTTGTTGTTTAACACATTTATGAAATTCATATTTCGGGTTTCAGGCACACGAAGCCGTCCTTCATGAGATGTGGATCACCGACCACGACCACTCAAGTGATGGCCAGGAAAAAGCGCAGAGGGGTAAAGTCATTGACGTCCACTGATTTAACGAGTGAAGGGTAACCTCGATGTAACGCCGGCTCAGCAGTACGGTGGCCCACAGAGGTCAACACACATCGACGTATGAAGACGCCGCCAATAAATAAAACTCAAAGCACATAGAGAAACACTGCAGAAGTTACCGCTACACAATGCCTCATTTGCATATTTAAATACAACATTTCAGAGACCGTTGATGGTGATATCTGTTATATAGATTTATATTTATAAAGCATCTCTCCTCACTCGTCTTCAGTTCAGCGATAGTTTGAGGTTTTTCTCGTTTTCTTTTGTCAGATTATCGAGAAGAGACGCAGAGACAGAATCAACAGCAGTCTGCTGGAGTTACGGAGACTCGTCCCCACGGCCTTCGAGAAGCAGGCGAGTTCACATCAGACCGTAAACCAGGTTTCTGTTCAGCTCTGCTTCCTGGTTTCAGGTCAACAAGAATCCGACCCGGCATCAAGAATAACTCTATAGAGGATCAGGACTACTCTGAGACTGGTTCACATAGAGGATCAGGACTACACTGAGACTGGTTCAGGACCAGATAAAAGATCCTCATGGTCACTTTAATGGTTAACTGAGTAGAACCTTGTAACAACAGATAGATATGAAATCTATTCGTAATATTAGATTGGAGAAGTTGACCAGTGAATCCAGCTGCTGTGTGATGAAGAGAAGCTGAACCTGGTTGGACTCAGGTGTTTGTCTTTAACTGTTGGTTTGTTTCATCAGGGTTCAGCTAAACTGGAGAAGGCAGAGATCCTGCAGATGACTGTGGACCACCTGAAGGTGCTGCAGGCCACCGGAGGGAAAGGTAACCAGGAAGATGTTGCAGACATCCTTCAGAGGAGAGAGCTGTGGGAGAGTCCTTTAAAGATGTACTGGATTATGTTGTCGCGCCACGTTGATTTCGTTTCGATCTGGGAGTTGTCCGGGTTTTTGTCTTACAACGTTAACCCTTCCATAGTGTGTTTTCATTTTGGTCCAACCTCTCGTATCACTTCTGGTTGCAAAGAAAACAAGATGGCGACGGCCAAGATGCCTTCAAAACTATAGTCCACAAACCAGTGGGTGACGTCACGGCGACTACACCCACTTCTTATATACAGTCGACAGCAGAGAGAATAAATCCAAGCTGAAACCAGTTCTTTCTCATCAAAGGTGCAGAGGTTCCCTTTAACACTGATATCAGATCAGAACGTGTGGCGTGCAGCTCTTAAGGACGAGAGGCAACGCATCATTCAGTGTGTGGCAGCGCTTGTTCTTTGAAGTCACTTTGGTTTGTCAGCGAGGACATGATGTCAGTCAAACTGTAGTGTGTGTGTGTGTGTGTGTGTGTGTGTGACAGAGGGAGGTGGTGAGTCCATGGGAAAGCACTGCGGGGATAAAAGCACCACTTGAACCTGAGCAGTGCTGTTTGCTTTCATAAAGACAGCAGGGGGGTCAGTGTTTGTTTGATCATAGCAGCTGGTCTACAAGACTCCAGACTATTTTGTTTTGCCACCGTCCCAAGAATCATTTTAACCGCTCTGAAGTCAGTAAACCATCAAACATTTATGGTCTGTGACTCTAAATGGAGCATAATGTACTAAATGAACATCATGCTGTATTGAAGAAGACTTGAAACTAGAGATTGAGACCATAAACTCATGTTTACAATGTTTACTGAGGTAATAAATCAAGAGAGAAGTAGAGTCATTTTCTC